CCTCTTCCTCCTTTGCGGCCGCCTTCGCTTCCTTTTTGTTCTCCTCCATTTTTCTTCTTCTTCTTCTTCTTCTTCTTCTTCTTCTTCTTCTTCTTCTTCTTCTCCTCTTCCTCATAATCATCATCATCATTATTATTATCATCATCATCGTCGGCATCACCATCATCATATTTACCATCATAATAATAAACAATCAACAAAAATAAAAACAGTGCTGCCAACAGCCATCACTCACTCTTTTCACTGCACCATACCCATTTCTCCCTCGTTCTTCCCTTTCCCCTCTTCTTTCTCCCTCACCCCTCCACTCCCCACTACCCCACCTTCCCCCTTCCCTACCCTTCCCCCTGCCCTTTTCCCTTCTCTTATCCTGCCCCAACTTCCCCTCCCCTTCTCTTCCCTCCCTTTCCTCCAACTCTTTCCTTCCTTTCCTTCACCGTCACCCAACACCATTTCCCCCCCCCCTTACCCCCTCCCTCAATCCCTCCCCTCCCCACTCCTCCAGAAACTCCTCTCTCTCCTTCCCTCCCCCCTCCCTTCCCCACTCCCTAGAAACTCCCTCAACTTCCCCTTCCCCCTCCCCCTCTCTCCCCCTTCCTCCCCTTCCCCTTCCCCCCTCCTCCCTCCAGAAACTCCTCTCTCTCCTTCCCTCCCCCTTCCCTTCCCCACTCCCTAGAAACTCCCTCAACTTCCCCTTCCCCCTCCCCCTCTCTCCCCCTTCCTCTCCTTCCCCTTCCCCCTTCCTCCCTTCCTCCCCTTCCCCCTTCCCCCTTCCCCCTTCCCCCAGCCCCAACCCAGCTCACGTTTCCACTCCCCGAACCGAGCGATTTGTGACAGTCTGGGGAGTTGACATCCACACTCCACGAGCTCATGCAAGCTCTCCCTCGAGTTGGTCCTTATTCAGAAACGAAGCAATCGAGGGGGAGCTGAGCGCCGAAGGGAGACCGGGGCGCGGGAGGGTTACAGGTCAAGGAGGAGAGAGAGAAAGGGGAAGAGAGGGAAGAGAGAGAAGAGAGGGAGGGGGGAAGAAAGAGAAGAGAGGGAGGGGGAAAAGAGACAATGGGGGGGGATAAATTCAGCGAAGGAAAGGGAGAAAAAGGGTGACTGATAGACAGATAGATAGATAGATAGAGAGAGACTGGTAAATACAGATAGAGAGAGGCTGCTGAAAGAGAAGAGAGAGGAGAAAGGGGGGCGAGGTAAGGATAGAGGATAGAGGACAGAGGACAGAGCACAGAGGAGAGAGGAGAGAAAAGAGAGAAGAGAGGAGAGAAAAGAAAGGAGAGAGAAGAGAGAGAGAGAAGAGAAAGAGGGAGAGAATGAGAAGTAAAGACACGAAGAAACGAAGCGTTGCAAATAAAAAAGAAGAAAAAAAAAAGAGAATGAAAACCCCTAAAATTACTTCCCTCTCGCCCCCTCTTAACCGCCCCCCCCCCAAAAAAAAAGAAGCCTAATCCTTCCTCTCCCCCTCCCCCTTTCTCCTCCCTCTCTCTCCCTCTCCTATCCACCTCATTATCATGGCAAGAATTTAATAACTCGCGACCCCAGCAAGCTCTGGCAATATATACATGGTGTTAAGCTGACCCGAGGCCGACCTCACAACGCGTCATGGAACCTCCCATTAGCCCTTCCCTCTCCCGCCCCCCTCCTATCCCTCCCTCTGTTCCTACTCCTCTTCCCCATTCTATTTTCTCCTTTACGCTATTGTCGTTAGTCCTCTCTTCAACCTTGTCCTCCTTCTCATTTGTTTTTCCCCTCTTCCTTTTTACTCCCTTTCCCTTCCTTCTCCTTTGCTTTTCCCCTCTTCCTTCTACTCCCTTTCCCCTCCTTTTCCCCTTCCGCTGCCACGTCTAGTCCCTGATTCCTCTTTCCCCTCCTCCTTCACCTCCCCTTTCCCTTAACCCCTTCCCTTTCCCGGTCTTCTTCCTTTCCTTCCTCTTCCCTCTCCCCTTCCCCTTTTCCTTTCCTTCTACCTCCTCCCCTTCACCTCCCTCTTCTCTCTTCCGCTTCCCCCTCTTTCTCTCCCCTCCCCTTCCCCTTCCTCCTCTCCCCCCTCACCTCCCTCCTCTCTCTCTCTCTCCCCTTTCTCTCTCTCTCTCTCTCTCTCTCACCTACCTAGCAAATCACACTCTCCCTCCACAATGTTTTCGACCCATGAAATGAAACCCGGGTAAAAAACACAATATTCTTTCCCTCTTCTGTTTTCACGTCACAATCAGCTGACTACATTAGTCCTTGGTAATAATATACATTCAGGTACACAATATACATAAAAAAAAATATACAAAATACTTTAGGGGGAGGTTAATTCTAAACACAAATACTTGAAAACTACACAGGGGGATTACAGTAATACAAGAATATACACAAATATCTACTATCACTTTGGTAATGTTTTTTTTTTGGTGTTGGTGGCAGTGGTGTGTGTGTGTGTGTGTGTGTGTGTGTGTGTGTGTGTGTGTGTGTGTGTGTGTGTGTGTGTGTGTGTGTGTGTGTGTGTGTGTGTGTGTGTGTGTGTGTGTGTGTGTGTGTGTGTGTGTGTGTGTGTGTGTGTGTGTGTGTGTGTGTGTGTGTGTGTGTGTGTGTGTGTGTGTGTGTGTGTGTGTGTGTGTGTGTGTGTGTGTGTGTGTGTGTGTGTGTGTGTGTGTGTGTGTGTGTGTGTGTGTGTGTGTGTGTGTGTGTGTGTGTGTGTGTGTGTGTGTGTGTGTGTGTGTGTGTGTGTGTGTGTGTGTGTGTGTGTGTGTGTGTGTGTGTGTGTGTGTGTGTGTGTGTGTGTGTGTGTGTGTGTGTGTGTGTGTGTGTGTGTGTGTGTGTGTGTGTGTGTGTGTGTGTGTGTGTGTGTGTGTGTGTGTGTGTGTGTGTGTGTGTGTGTGTGTGTGTGTGTGTGTGTGTGTGTGTGTGTGTGTGTGTGTGTGTGTGTGTGTGTGTGTGTGTGTGTGTGTGTGTGTGTGTGTGTGTGTGTGTGTGTGTGTGTGTGTGTGTGTGTGTGTGTGTGTGTGTGTGTGTGTGTGTGTGTGTGTGTGTGTGTGTGTGTGTGTGTGTGTGTGTGTGTGTGTGTGTGTGTGTGTGTGTGTGTGTGTGTGTGTGTGTGTGTGTGTGTGTGTGTGTGTGTGTGTGTGTGTGTGTGTGTGTGTGTGTGTGTGTGTGTGTGTGTGTGTGTGTGTGTGTGTGTGTGTGTGTGTGTGTGTGTGTGTGTGTGTGTGTGTGTGTGTGTGTGTGTGTGTGTGTGTGTGTGTGTGTGTGTGTGTGTGTGTGTGTGTGTGTGTGTGTGTGTGTGTGTGTGTGTGTGTGTGTGTGTGTGTGTGTGTGTGTGTGTGTGTGTGTGTGTGTGTGTGTGTGTGTGTGTGTGTGTGTGTGTGTGTGTGTGTGTGTGTGTGTGTGTGTGTGTGTGTGTGTGTGTGTGTGTGTGTGTGTGTGTGTGTGTGTGTGTGTGTGTGTGTGTGTGTGTGTGTGTGTGTGTGTGTGTGTGTGTGTGTGTGTGTGTGTGTGTGTGTGTGTGTGTGTGTGTGTGTGTGTGTGTGTGTGTGTGTGTGTGTGTGTGTGTGTGTGTGTGTGTGTGTGTGTGTGTGTGTGTGTGTGTGTGTGTGTGTGTGTGTGTGTGTGTGTGTGTTGCGGCCCCATGAATAGTGCGGCCGGGTATCTCCCTTAGAGAAAAAAGTTTGTTTTGGCGAAGAGTAATTTTTGGAGACGAGAAAAAAAAAGAAAGAAAAAAAAAGAAAGAAAGAAAAAGGAGAAAAGAAACAAAGGAGAAGAAAATTTGTCTTATCCTTATGAAATAAATGTGCAGAAATGGACAGAAATTTGTGCGTTAAGCAGAATTGAGGATATTTTTTTTTTTAGTGAAAAATCTATCAAGGAAAATGTGTTTATTATTCGTAATTCTTATTTGTGTTATTTATGGTCATTCTCCTTTTCTCTCTTTCTGTTTATGTATCTTCAGATTTCTTTGTGCATATCTATCTATTCCCATTAGTATATCTATACCAATCTATCTATCTATCGAGTTAATCAACTTCCCCCTCCCCTCCCCTCCCCTCCCCTCCCCTCTCTCTCTCTCTCTCTCTCCCTTTTCTCTCTCTCTCTCTCTCTCTCTCTCTCTCTCTCTCTCTCTCTCTCTCTCTCTCTCTCTCTCTCTCTCTCCCTCTCTCTCTCTCTCTCTCCCCTTTCTCTCTCTCTCCCCTTTCTCTCTTCTCTTCTCTTCTCTTCTCTTCTCTCTCTCTCTCCCCTTTCTCTCTCTCTCTCCCTTTTCTCTCTCTCTTTTCTCTCTCTCTCTCTCTCTCTCTCTCTCTCTCTCTCTCTCTCTCTCTCTCTCTCTCTCTCTCTCTCTCTCTCTCTCACCTACCTAGCAAATCACACTCTCCCTCCACAATGTTTTCGACCCATGAAATGAAACCCGGGTAAAAAACACAATATTCTTTCCCTCTTCTGTTTTCACGTCACAATCAGCTGACTACATTAGTCCTTGGTAATAATATACATTCAGGTACACAATATACATAAAAAAATATACAAAATACTTTAGGGGGAGGTTAATTCTAAACACAAATACTTGAAAACTACACAGGGGGATTACAGTAATACAAGAATATACACAAATATCTACTATCACTTTGGTAATGTTTTTTTTTGGTGTTGGTGGCAGTGGTGTGTGTGTGTGTGTGTGTGTGTGTGTGTGTGTGTTGGTAGCAGCAGGTATGGTTGTAAACAGTTACCGTGTTGGAAATGGACGTACGTCGTAGTATGTTGCATGCAAGTTTGCAAGTGCACTGTTAGCAGGTGTGTGTACCTGATAACAAGTACACGAACTCCTCGAAGGTGATAACTGTAGAACAGAATACACAGTGCTGGTGGGTGTAGCCGGTGTAGTAGGTGTAGCAGGTGTAGCCGGTGTAGTAGGTGTAGCAGGCGTAGTAGGCAGAGTGGGTGTAGTAGGTGAGGGTTACATGGACCGTGGGAGTATGTGGGGAAAGTGTCGTATAGTGAACTACTCTGATACTCACCTATATTTGGGTGTTGCAGCTTTCTGCAAATTCTCGCCTCTCTTTCGAGTTTCTGGAAGTCTGGAAAGATAAAAAAAATATGATTATAACATCTATATACATACATTCTATACCATCAGCAAAATAAGTAAATAATCACATCAAATTTAACACAATCATCCCAAATCTCTTTCCGGATAACAATGTCCAAGAACACATCACACGTTCCTGGAACTCACTGCAAGGAAAAACTCGCTCATTCCGTATTTTCAGGAAGATAGGAACATGATCAACATCCCCTATTTTGCGAAAATCAATAAAAGGAAAATGCAAATTAGACCACCAACACGCAGAAACAGGCAGGCCAAAGAAACACTTTTTTGAAGAAGAAGAAGATGAAAAAATGGAAGGAAGAGAGGATGATAAAGAAAAAGAAGAGGAGAAAAGATAGAAGGAACGAAAGATGGATGGAGGAAAGAATTGAAAAAAGGGGTGAGGAGGGAGAAAAGAAAGCAAGAAAAAAAAGAACATGAAGAAGAAACAGAAGGATAGAAGAAGGAAAATAAGCAAAAGGAAGGAATAAAATAAGACGAAGAGGACGAAGAAGAAAAAATAAAATCACACAGGGAAAGCGTCGAGATATGATAAATGGCCGTCTCCTGCGCAACTAAGTCTCGACAATATCTCACTCTCGGACAGACAAGGAAGAAATTCTACTCTAAAGTAAGAAAATAAAAACCGTTTCTCTTTTCTCGTAAAATTCAGGAAATACGAAAACGTTCCTTTTTATGGCCAGAGGCACGTTGCTTCGCTTCCCTTCCCCTCCCCTCCCTTCCTCCTCTCCCTCTCCCCTTCTCCTGCCTTACATCTCTTCCCCTCCCCTTCCCTCTACTCCCTTTTCTTCCCCTTCCCCTACCTTCCCTCTCCTCCTTTTCCCTTCCCCTCCCCTCCCTTCCTTCTCCCCCCTCTCCTGCCTTCCATCTCTCCCCCTCCCCTTCCCTCTACTCCTTCTTCTTCTCCTTCCCCTCTCTTCCCCTCCCTTCCCCCTCCTCCCCTTTCCTCCCCCTCTTTCCCCTCGCGCGACGCCTCTCCCCTCGTCCCATTGATCCACCAGGTGCGGCAAGTCGAAGGAACAATCAAGGACAAGCTATTGACAAAAGTGAGGAGAGAGAGAGAGGGGGGAAAAAAGAAAGAAAAAAAAAAGAAAGAAAAGGGGAAAAAAAGTCGCATACAAAGTGAGGAGAGAGGGGGGGAAAAAAGAAAAAGGAAAAAAAAAAAAGTCACATACAAAGTGAGGAGAGAGAGGAGAAAAAAAAAGAAAAAAAAAAAAGGAAAAAGAAAAAAAAAAAAAAATCGCATACATATTCCTCGGCGCCTCCAGGAACGCGCGTCGGGCCCCCGGAAAGCGACAATTTCCCGGGCGCGAGAAGGAGGGGAAATCGGTCGGGACAATTTCGAGAAGGCGCACGCGACCGGGCGGGTTCTTCGGCCACGCCCCTTTGGAGGCCGGGGGGGGAGAGGGGTGGAGGTGGGGGGATGACGAGCTGGGGAGAGGGGGTAAGGAGGGGGGAGAGGAAGAGGAGGAGAGGGAGAGGGAGTGTCCTCGCCTGCTAGCCCGCCCACCCACCCACCCACCCACCCGAAGTCCGCCCGCCGCCCACCCTCCTGACCTTGGCGCTTCCGAGGTCATTTGGAGGTCGCAACGGCAGCGAGGGGAGGAGGTGGGGGGATGGGGGGGAGGGGGGCGGCGACTCCCCGACATGATCAGAGGTGCGTCGCCCTTCCCCCCTTCCCCCCGCCCCCCGTGCCCCCTCCGCCCTCGGCCTGCGAAGCCTCCAGCGCCCCCGACGAGCCCTTCGGAGGCGTGCTTCTGGTCGTGACAGCTCGAGGCACTTCGGAATCCTCCCCCTCCCCCCCCTCTCCTCCTCCCCACCCGTTTCCTATTTCTCCTCCGATCTCCCCTTCGCTCTCAGCCTTTCCATTCCCCCATCCCCTCCCACTCTCTTCTATTCTTATCACTCTCGGTTTCCCTTTCCTTCTTCCTCCACTTCCCTCTACCCCCCCCTCCTTTCTTTCCCCATTCTTTTCCCCCCTAGTCTTACACCTCCCCTCCCCCCTTTCCCCATCCCTTTCCCCCCCTTTTTCTTACACCGCCCCTTCCCCTCCCCCCCCCAAGCCAGCCAACCTCCTTATCAAAGCCTCTCGATAAACCTCTTCGCAGCACCAGATAACGAGCGATAAAAACAAGATGACATAATGGAGATAAGTTAATTACGACCCCCGCGAACCACAAACAAACAAACAAACAAACTCCAGAGGCACATTCCCCCCCCTTCTCCTCTCCTCCCCCCTTTCCCCTCCCCCCCCTCTCCTTCTGGCCTTCACATTCCCCTCGCTTTTTTACGGTCTCTCGACCCCCCCCCCCCAAAAAAAAGAAGCTAATATTAATAATAGAAAAAAAAGCTAATATTAATAATAAAAAAAACAAATAAATAAATAAAAAGATAAAAAAATAAATAAAAAAGGTTACTGCCTGTATAAACACGAGACAATTAATACCGTGGAGTAGCAGGTACTTCCGGGCTTGTTTGCCACTTCCGGGACTCGCGCGTGAATCATTGATCGGTGCGGAGCCAGGGCGCAGGGCACGGGCATGAGTGTGTGCGTAGAGGAGGCGGCAAATGGATTAACCAGAAGGGGGGGGGGGAAATAACGTAAAGAGATAAGAACAATAGATAATATAGATGAATGGGCGCAGAAAATACGTTTGCCATTGTGTTGTAAGAGTACCATTGTCCTCCCCCCCCCCCGCCCCCCCTCTCTCTCTAAGAAAAAAGGTTACTGCCTGTATAAACACGAGACAATTAATACCGTGGAGTAGCAGGTACTTCCGGGCTTGTTTGCCACTTCCGGGACTCGCGCGTGAATCATTGATCGGTGCGGAGCCAGGGCGCAGGGCACGGGCATGAGTGTGTGCGTAGAGGAGGCGGCAAATGGATTAACCAGAAGGGGGGGGGGGAAATAACGTAAAGAGATAAGAACAATAGATAATATAGATGAATGGGCGCAGAAAATACGTTTGCCATTGTGTTGTAAGAGTACCATTGTCCTCCCCCCCCCCCTGTCCAACATGTCTACACGCCTTCCCCTCCCCTACCAGGTTCATAACCCCTCCCCTCTCGCTCCCTCCCCTCCCCCTCCCTACGAGCGCCGGCACCGTGCCTTCCCTGACAACGCACGCGTATCCGACTATTTGTTCGCTTGCCGTTTCTACCTTGATTACGCAAAAAAGAAACAGGAAATAGAGAAAGCGAGATGCAAAGCGAGAGAGAAAACATAACGTGAGAATAAGAAAAAAAAGGACAAAAACAAAAGAAAGGAAAGAAAAAAAAAAAAGAAAAGAAATCAAAGAAAGAAAAACAAAGAAAGAAAAAAATAAAGAAAGAAAAACAGAAAAAAATGAAGGAAGAAAAACAAAGAAAGAAAAAAAAGAAAGAAAAGAAATCAAAGAAAGAAAAACAAAGAAAGAAAAAAATAAATAAAAAAGGTTACTGCCTGTATAAACACGAGACAATTAATACCGTGGAGTAGCAGGTACTTCCGGGCTTGTTTGCCACTTCCGGGACTCGCGCGTGAATCATTGATCGGTGCGGAGCCAGGGCGCAGGGCACGGGCATGAGTGTGTGCGTAGAGGAGGCGGCAAATGGATTAACCAGAAGGGGGGGGGGGAAATAACGTAAAGAGATAAGAACAATAGATAATATAGATGAATGGGCGCAGAAAATACGTTTGCCATTGTGTTGTAAGAGTACCATTGTCCTCCCCCCCCCCCCTCTCTCTCTAAGAAAAGGTTCTTCCTCCCCCCCCTACTCCCCTACCTCTACTTCCCCAACACGTCTACCTCACAACCACCCCCCCTTCTGTCCTCCCTGGCATCACCCCCTCCTCAAACACATTTACCTCCCCTCCCCCCTGTCCAACATGTCTACACGCCTTCCCTCCCCTACCAGGTTCATAACCCCTCCCCTCTCGCTCCCTTCCATCCCCCTCTCCCCCCTCCTCTCGCTCCCTCCCCTCCCCCTCTCCCCCATCCACTCTCTCTTCCCCCCTTCCCCCATCCTCTCTCGCTTACCCCTCTCCCCTCCCCCATCTCCTCTCTCTTCCCCCCTTCCCCCCATCCCCTCTCGTTCCTCCCTACCTTCCCCCTCCTCCTCCCTACGAGCGCCGGCACCGTGCCTTCCCTGACAACGCACGCGTATCCGACTATTTGTTCGCTTGCCGTTTCTACCTTGATTACGCAAAAAAGAAACAGGAAATAGAGAAAGCGAGATGCAAAGCGAGAGAGAAAACATAACGTGAGAATAAGAAAAAAAAGGACAAAAACAAAAGAAAGGGAAAGAAAAAATGGTAGACGGAAAGAGAAAAAAAGAAAGAAAAAAAAATGAAAGAAAAAGACAAAAAATGAAAAAAAAGAAAGACAGAAAAAGAAAGAAAAGAAATCAAAGAAAGAAAAACAGAAAAAAATGAAGGAAGAAAAACAAAGAAAGAAAAAAATAAAGAAAGAAAAACAAAGAAAGAAAAAAAAGAAAGAAAAATTAAGAAAAAAGAAATAAAAAAATAAAGAGAAAGAAAAAATTACAAATAAAAAAATAAAGAAAATAAACGAAAGAAACGAAGGACCGAACTAATACCGAGCGGCGCAGAGATGAGCGTCTGGCGTCTCCCGCGGCCGACCCAAACAAGAGCACATCAAACACAATTCCCTTTCGGACATAAAACCGAGACAAACAAGTGTTACCACGCCCGCCACAAAGAGCGAAAAGGGGGTAGAGGGAGAGGGGAGAAGGGAGGGAGGGAGGGAGGAAGTAGGAGGGAGAGGAAGAGGGAGGGAGAGAAGGAGAAGAAAGGGGAAGGGAGGGGGTAGGAAGAGAGGGAGAGGGGAGGGGGAAAGGTAGGGAGAGGGGAGTAGGAGAGTAGGAGGGAGAGAGGAAGGGAGGAAGAAAGCGAGAATCTCTCTCTCTCTCTCTCTCTCTCTCTCTCTCTCTCTCTCTCTCTCTCTCTCTCTCTATATATATATATAT